CGGGAGGCGGGGCCTGACTGCGAAGCCTCTGCCAGGTCTATGATGATGGCAAACACGTGTACCTGGTGACGGAGCTGATGCGGGGTGGGGAGCTGCTGGACAAGATCCTACGGCAAAAGTTCTTCTCGGAGCGGGAGGCCAGTTTCGTGCTGCACACCATCAGCAAGACGGTCGAGTATCTGCACTCACAGGGGGTGAGTCTGGCCCAGGGAGGGGAGCGAGGGGGATGCTGCCAAGGTCATGCCATCTGTAACTGTCAGGACCACGGGCTGGTGTGGGCAGCAGGAGTCCCCAGGCAAGCGGGTTCCCGATGAGCGGATGGGACGGTGGGTGAGAGAGCAGGTGGACGTGTGGGCTTAGATGGTTGAATGGAAAGGAGGCAGGGTGGACAAGAGAAGAGATGGAAGGGGCCGAATCGGGGAAGGAGCATTTTATTAAGTTAACATCGACATGCCAAGCCCCATCCTAAGTTCTGCATTGTCTTACCTGACTTTCATAGCGACCGTATGAGGTAGGTGTCATTACTGGCCACCCTTTACAGCCAAGTAGACTGAGGCTCAGAAGTAAAGAGTCACTGGCCCACGGCACACTGTGGGCCAGCAGGAGGATGGAGCCAGAATGCCTGGCAGGGGAAGGGAGAGTTGGTGTTGTGAACCAGGCACCGTCAAGATCACTGTGGGGCTTCAGGGAGGCATCTGGCGTGGGGGTTGGTGCTGGCCCAGGAAGTGGCTGCAGAAGTGTGCACTGGGGGCGGCGGCACCGTAGGTGCTACGAAGAGACCCAGATCCCAATGTCTGAATGCGACTTCTCTCATACAAGGCAAGGACAGCCTGGCCAAGCGTGGGCCACGGCTCGCAAAGCTGCAGGGAGGTAGAGATGGCCTGTACAGTGTCTGAAAGCTGCGAGCAGGCGAGTTAGGGTGGGTTCTGTCCCAGGGCGCTCTAGCCCGAGAGTGTGGGGTTAAGAATGCAGGCTCCGTCCTGATGCATGCCACAACACGGGTGGACCTTGAAAACATCGTGCCGAGAGAAATTAGTCAGTCA